GGATTGGTGGATTCCCTGGTCTTGGATCAGGGATCGAGCGCACATGACACCTTTGATTCTTGACTTAGCGTGGTACAGTTTTTGTGGAAATTTCCCTGGGGGTCAAGGACTATAAAGAGAAAGGTCCTTGGTGGATGTGAAAGTGAATTTCCTTTACTTCATTGTGGAAAAGTATCATCTTTGGACTTGTAGGCCTAAGAGTTTATTGTTGCTCAAGCTGCACTGTGTGAATTTGCCTGCGTCAAGGACCGAAATGAGGCTGGGGGAAGAAGGCGGCGGGCGTGTTCTGGTGTTGGGTGGCGCCTTCGACTACACCCGCTTGACGCCTTCAATGCAGATCCACATCGTGAATTCCGAGATGCTGCAGATTCTTGGACTGGTGTGAGTGGGCCTTGAAGTGTTGTTTTCAAGTCTTTTCCGTTCCGCTCAATAAAGTCTTGTTTGTGCTTGGCCCTTCTTCTCCTCAGATTGAGGTGCTGCGACGAATCACGAACCGCGTGTCCTTCTCATTGCATGTTCACTGACCTGAACCCGAACTGCTGGTATCCCTTCGAAGAGTTGCCTGACTGATTTTGAAATTTGGGGGCGAGGTTTCTAGCTGATCTTTTTCTGTTTTGGTAGCCCTGGTGAAATCCACTGTCGCCCCAATTCTTGAGGCCTCAGAGAACCTTCCCTTTTGGGCCGAACGTGTTCTTTAGAGGCTCAATTTTTGGAACGGAGCGCGATGAGTGTGTAGCTTCTTGACATCAGGCTTCAATCCAAGCTGCGGTGCATCAAGACGAACTGGAACTCTGAGCATCCTGTCCTCTGCCATTGCAAATCTGGCGTTCACAGAGCTCCGGAGATTGCTGCGTGCTTGATCATGCTGCAGATGAAGCTCTCAGTTCAGGATGCTGTGTCTTGGCTTTCAGCTTTATTGCTTTAGAGTTTTTCCTTTTCCTTTTAGACCTTTAGACTAGAACCATTCAGACTAATACTCATGACTCCACAACAGATAACGACGGGAATCAGGAACAGGGGCCTGAAAATTGAAGTTCATTTGAGAGCAACTAAGTTGGACTTTGTGCGGCGCCACCGGAACATAGTGCAGTTCACTCGGAGTCAGTCGTGGCTTGTCTTTGCCAGCATCGCTTGTCTTTGTTTTCTGTCACGCGTCGTGTTTCTATCTGTGAGCGCCGGCAACCACGAGTGTGACACGAATGCTTAGCCCCTCGGCGTCCACAGGTTCATTCACTTTGTGGATCGCCACCGGGAATTGCTGTGGTGATTGGGCCATGAGCTTTGGCAAGATGGAAGGTGATGCTTCCAGCAGCAACGTTATCTCCCGTGTCATCGGCGCCTCTGGCATCCACGTGAGCACCATGAGCTTTGGCAAGATGGACTAGTAGCAAGAAGCTACGAGCGGGGCTCCTGGCATCGGTACGAACGGAGCTAGTTGGTCGATTGTTATCAGATGTTATCCATTGTTTTCATGCATCAAATGAAGTCAGCCATTTTCAGATGTTAGTCAGTGAACTCAAAACTTCAAGGTACCTCATGTTTCATCGCGCATCCCTTTGAACCTTTTACCCCGCATGGAAGATATAGTATCAACCAACCAGCCTGTCTCGAAGAGCCGATGCCCAAAATGGGCCGGCCCAAAATGGGCCGACAGTGGAGAAAAGTTAAAGGTGAGCTGAGTGTGGTGCGTCTGGCGTTGTGTGCAAGTTTCCCTTCAATGTTTAAAAGCACTTGTCACAGCACAGGAGATCAAAAAGGATCCCCTTTTTTTGAGAAAATGCCCCAAGGATAGGATTCGGGTTGGTCAGCTTTTAGTTCTGGTGTCATGTTGATTTCCTTTGGCAGCATGTGCGTGTGCCATGTGAGTTTGTTGTGATGAGTTGCAAGTCTTCGGTGATTTGAGGCCTTTGGCCTGAACCTGTCAACGTCTGCCTGGCGCCCCAGAGACTTGCCTGGCAACTGCAACTGCTGAACCACGGATAGGATTTTGGTTGTTGGCTGGCGGTTGATTCGAGAATGGTTGATTCGAGAATAAACTAACTTTTTT